TGTAGTATTTACCTACGTATGACTGAATAGCGCTACCTTCTACTGGTTCTCACTTTTTCTCTGTAAACGATATGAATATGGACTTTGATGAAAAAAAATTTTTTTTTATTAAATTAACGTTATATATTATAGCTTCTGTTATTGATAAATAATTCAAAATTTTCTGTTCCAAAACGCTTTCAAAATCACGGAGTTTATAGCTCGTTCGTCATAGTTCAGCGATTAAATAACGAGTGAAATAACAAATATCGTCAGGATCCTATGTAATTATAATATTCAGTGCCTATAAACTTACTGTCTAAAACTTGAATTGATATATACTGTTTAAAACTTAATGAGATAAAACGATATTAATAATATTAGCTTCAACAGCAGCAGCACCAGTAATTATTTCTTTTGCTCTTCAAATGAAACTACGTCATGAGGTGCAGTTAGCGACAGCGACGTGGTAAATTTGATTAAATCAGACAGTTATATTCAGAAGTTTGTCTAGAATCTTTATAAACTCTTCTGCTTTAGGTATGGGATGAAAATAGCTTACTTTTCAGTTTTTGTTTACTCACTCTACTTAAGTAGGTATGTACGGTTATGTCCCTACATAAGTATTCTTGAAACCAGAGCGTCGGCATCAACGAGTAACGCAATCGCTCGCTCGTTCGAATCCACCGGTTTCAATTCCAGGGATTCAATATGGTTAAATTTGGATTACAGTGTATACCGTATTTTACTGTACTGTAAACTGAACAACACAGTTTTGATAGAAATAGTTATCTGTATATAAGATGACAAGCACGCGTTTATTTTTTCTGTATGTAGTAAGGTGGGTGGACCATGGAAGGCCACTCTAAAGAATAAACACTTTTTATTCGTATATTTACTGGATAAATGAAGGAAACAAATTGTTAAGGCATACTTTGGTTTATTGTGTACCATAGAAATCACTTTTTTTTTACCTAGCTTTAATAACTATTTATTAAACTTAAGTTTTATTAAGCTCTTCCAAATGGCCTTGCAAGGAACAGGGCTCCAAACAAGGCCAATATTATAATTCAGTCGTTCAACTTAAAAATAGAGTTGTAACAATTAATATATCCGCTTTTACTAAAACTACATAATAAGCTCTTTCATTTAAGCGAAACATTAAATGCACAATATATTTTTATTATCTATAAAAAACACAATGAACATTACTTGAACACCATCGTATAACTAAGAATATATTAATGGAAATTATTTAAAACTAGTAGTAATAAATTTTGTATTGATATAAAATAACTTGCCAACGCGTTTTATAATCAAATTTAAAACTTTTTTTTTTTACCTTATATGGCCTTCTTAAGGCTCCGTTCTTTGTAAGGCCACAATGTTCCTAAGAAGGCCAAACTAACAATCTATGACTTTTTTATATTAATTAAGTATAATCAAATAATAGACACTACAGACGTACTGTAATTATTACAAACTTATCATGGCACATAGTCAGTCTTGTAGTCAGGAATGTTTAAAATCTTAAACTATCTTCGTTCCATGTACTACCTCTTTTTCTAGGTTTTGACTGTGACATTCTTGAAATCTGAAATAATACGTATAAATTTTAATCATCTGTTCAATTACCAACTTATTGATATAATTTTTTTTTGCTTTAATTATAGTTTTAGACAGACTATCTTAGATGTACAATTTTTAACTTATCTCATACTTACTTTACCGCTTTTAACAAGCAAATATTTTTATATTCGTTGCTTTTCATGTAAATTAGTTTAGTTTATTTCCAGACATAACCTCTTCATAGACATAAAATAAATTTAAATATAATATACTGAAAATAAAATAATTTTGAAAAAAAATTCTATTCAATCTGAGTTTAAAAGTTAGAAAACCCTTACAAAAAAAATATAAATATAAAACATTGTTTTAACTTTAACGGTACGTATTTATAACCACATAATAAGTGTTTATATGTTCATGGTTTATAGATGTAAGGCCCATGTTCCCTAGCAAGGCCAACCGTCAAATTTTTGATTGGCCTTATAAGGAACCACCGGCTTTCCTAGGAACACTCCCAATATTTTCACTTAAATCGAGGCAATTTCTTTTTTTTTTTCTTGAGTTCCATAAAAATATCCTTACACGACAATTCACAGTAAAAAATATAAGGAAACAATAGGTTATTTAACTAAAAACTGACGTTTTGCTGTGCGCGCGAATAACAATTGTTACGTCGACGATCGAAGTCTATGAAGTGTGAGATCGCACCGCCACAATAGCGGCGCGAGCGACTCGCAGCCGCGTCTGTGGCCTTCAGTTTGATGGATTGTAGTGTGTAGTAGAAGGAATATGTCTTTAAATGTCAATAACTACGACTTTTTAATAGTTGGCCTTCAAAGGAGCGTGGCCTTCCATGGTCCACCCACCTTATGTTTATCAGCAGTCTGGTTATCATAGTACAGGTTCTACATAGTTTGTGATCAACCAACCGTGTATTGTATGAGATGTGTCAAGGTTAATATAGTTAGTTTACAAAAATCATGTAAATTAATACAAATTAAATTGATATCCGCTGCGCTCTAAATACTTTAGCGTGTTAAATGTTTGTTTATAAGACGACGAGACTAGACGTAGATGTATTACAGTTCTATGTATATATCTTACAGTAAACAGTAATTTAAACATTTTATAAATAAATTATGTATATTATACTTAACAGCCTATTTTATTTATTTATTTACAACATTTACAGTGTCTTTACAGGATCCATAAACGTATAGTAAAGTAATATTCATAAACGAAATCAAGGTCTAATTGACTTCTATTAAATTAAGTTAACATTTACATCAAAAATACAAGCAACAAACGATTTAATAATGAATGTTTAGCCCCTAACTAGAGACACAATTCTCACAAACAGCTTCTTTCGACTAGTCTAGAGATACAATTGTTACGAAATATAATACTTCGGCTAGTTGCACAAAATTGTATACGACATTTTCCTTGGAAATATTCATTGCAATTTTAACAATGAATCTCGCTTTCCTTTGTCCTATATTGTCGTAACAAAACAAAACATTGCTGTTAAAAAGAACGAAGTATCTGAAAATCTTATCAAGCAAAGAATTAATGGATTTAAAATATTTTACAGAACATACTTCAATTTCGTTCAGTGTTGGCTCACCTCAAATTTCTCCCTTAAACAAGATGTAATCTCATAAATACAAATCCAATTATTAGTTAGTTAAGAATTTTCATAGGCATCGATCTTGGATAAAATTTACCAGTTTTGTTGACTCTACTCTATCTAATACTTATTTAGTATATTTTTTTATTTAGGTATTTCATAATACGTAAAAAAAAAGGGGGCGAGAATCAATAAACTGTTTGAAGACGGTTTGGACTGCCGCATCGTAATTGATTTTTCCGTGTAAGAAGTTGTTCAAATTCCAGAAAAAATCGGGTAATCTGTTGGAGCAAGGTCCGGGGAGTACGGTGGATGTCGCAGACATTCTAATTGTAGCTCATCTAACTTAGTAGTTGTTTGTTGTGCAGTGTGTGGTCTTGCGTTGTCGTGAAGCAGCAGTGGCCTGGAGCGATTGACCACTCTCGGTTGTTTAGCAGCTAGTTCTTCCTTCATGGTTTGCAGTTGCTAACAATAGATATCTGCCGTAATGGTTTGGCCAGATTTTAGAAAGCTGTAGTGAACGACACCGGCGCTAGTCCACCAAACATTTACAAGTAACTTTTTCTGAGTCAATTTTCGTTTCGATTTAGATAGGTCTCCAGGCTTCAGCCATTGCGACGAGCGCTTCAGATTATGGTACAGTATCTTTTCATCACAAGTAATGATTCGATTTAAAATCCCTTCATTATTGTGTCGGTTGAGTAAAGTAACACAGCACTCGACGCGTGTTTGCAAGTTCGATTCACTCAATTCATCAGGTACCCATCGTTCAAGTTTTTTTCTGAAGGTCGAAATTTCAAAACGAAAACGTTGAAAGCAAAAACGTACCGTGCTTTTTTTTGCGACACCAGCGCCGTACACATCATCGTACGCGTAAATATATAATATTTTATATTTTCCATTGTGCGGTAATAAGCGACGCCAAAGAAAAAAATAATGAGGAAAAAACAAATGAATGATTGTTTTCAAAACTCAAATGTACCAGCTAAATGAATTTATAAATTTGAATTTGGAATTCTATTCTAGTTTTACTAATTTATTTTATGGCAACACAAAAGCTTACGGATTGCAGTAGACATGGGACAAAATCACAGTGAACTGTGAGTTATCATTCGATTCTCTTCGAATATTGGATCCGAGAATGGTAACGAGAGGCCGACGACTGATCCATCAGGATTTTAAGTTTGTTACAATTAGAGGGTAATTTGAAACAGGTAGATTTCATATAAGTGTTTTAATGTATCAATGTCAATCGCACTGTTTGGCCCTTAAGTATATCCTGTATTCTTTGACTTAGAGAATCCGAGCATCACTCGGACTGCAAATCTAATTATTTTAAAAATAAATAACATCAAAATGATAATTCAAACTTTAAATTTAAGTTATTGTAGCAATAAACGACATAGCAAAATATAATAAAGAGAACTTCACATCATGGCGAACGACAGACACTTCAGTCCTTTGAAATACTTTCGATATTTCAGTAGTATACGTACACAATTATTATTATAAATAACACTAATAATTGTCTAATGTCCCTATGCCCTCAATCGCTTACAAGAGTGCCAGTTACTCGTACATGCGTATTTGTTACACAAAATATATGACTATCATGGATCTGTCATTTCACAGATCTATTTGCTTGCCTCCTGAATATTCATAGAGCAAAATTTGACCTTCGGTAATCTCAATACCATGAAAAATTTTACATACTATTATGTTTACAGTTTTGTATACGCCATGTTTAAGCATTAAGTGTATAGCTCCGTTGTCTGGAGTAAGTATATAAGATGTTGTTGAGCGATTTTTTGGTATAGTTACAAATATGGCGTTCGTTAGAGAGCTCTTCGTTCTGTTGGGTGTTGTATTGGTATCTGTCTTTTGTGCGGATAACGATACTACACCGGCTCCTCCTACACCAACCCCTCCTACACCAACCCCAGCTAGTGCCAGTACTCCGGCTTCCACAGGAACTGTAAGTCTAAAGATTACATTTCACACAAATATTATAATACAATATTACGAGTATTTTGGACATCTGATTCACAATGTCATCTAGTTTCAAACTAAGCAAAGCTTGTAATAAGAAAGCTAGATTGACTGATAGAATACTTATACACTTTTTTTTGTAAATACATAGATAATACAATCAATACCGACAACCGTTGAAAAAAAACGAGTTTATGAATGGAGACCGCGTCTCGGCAAACTTAGTGTTGGACGCCCACAGGTCAGGTGGAGTGACGATTTGCGCAAGATGGCTGGCAGGAGCTGGATGCGAAAATTCGTCGATCAAAATCGATCTAAGTGCCGTGCAATAGGAGAGGCCTATGTCCAGCAGTGGACTGCGATAGGCTGATGATGATACATAATACAATACATACATAATATTTGCAATCACTATGTCAATTATCGTGGTAAAAAGTAGCCTATGTTACTCGCTGATTATGTCGCGTTTCAAAGAATTTTAAAATCGGTTTAGTGGTTTAGCCGTGGAAGCCTAACAAACAAACAAACTCACTTTCACATTTATAATATAAGTATTTATTTCGAATAATCGAGTCTAAATCCACAGATGTTTAAACATGTACCTACTAGCTGACCCGCGCAAATTCGTCTGCGTTTCTCAAAAGGAATAAATATTGCCCGCTTTTGCAATATTTGCCATTGATTTCGGTTTCTATTAGTGGTAGCGTGATGTTATATAGCCTTCCTCGATAAATGGTCTCTCCAACACCCAGTATATAAAAGAATCATTAGTACTTGAGATTATCGCGTGCAACCAAACAAACAAACAAACTCCTCTACTTTATAATATTATTATAGATGTGATTTTTCATAAAAAATATGTCTATTGTAAAACTGGAACAAAACGATAAAATTTATCTCTGAAAGATAATCCTGGTAATTGAACATATATATATATATAACTACATGAGAATTTATTATTAACTAACCATTCTGTGGAACAGTACCAGAATAGGAACAGAACAGTAATCAATTTTTTTTGGTCTTATGGTACTGTTATATTAACCAAGAGCAGTAGGAGCATCAGAAATCAGCCAGATTAAGCAAACTCTTCAAGCAGCATTACAACCTTATTTATCTTATTCTCTTTGTACAAATAACAGTTCATTGTACAATGGCGGACTTAACGCCACAGGCATTTTCTCCCAGTCTACCTTTGGCTAGTTGCACTAGAAATTAATATTTTTGTGTAACGAGATAATAATAATTAAGGATATGGACAGAAACAGTGTGACAGATTTATATACTCGTACATACATACTGAGATACACGTATGTGTATAAATGTATATATACTTGCTGAGTTACATACATATAATACAATATATGAAACATTAAGGATGTGATGAATCTGTCTTAAATGAAAGGCGGCTGGGTGCTAACCTGATTTCGAGAGATAGAGCGTTCCAGAGAAGTACAGATTGGATTAGGAACGAAGAGTGGACACAGGCGGAAGTATGAGTGGGGCATAACAAAAGTGTTTGGTTTGAGGAACGGAGGGTTCTGTTGTGATTGGAACATAGAAGTTGGAATGAGGATGTCAGGTAGGAAGGGGAAATAGGTGAGTTAGTATGGAATAGAGGGTGGTGAGGGCGTGCAGCTGACGGCACTGACGAATCTTGAGCAAGACGAGAGGATGAAACATGGGCCGTATTTACGAAGGTTAAAAACGAATCGAATGCAGTTATTCAGAAAGCGGTCATATTTATTGAAGAGATCTGCATTCAGGTCATAATAGTTATAATCCAAGATATGGACAATAAGGGTCTGTACTAGCATCGCTTTTGTCTCGGAAGGAAGGAAATTTTAAGCCGATAGAAGGCCCGTAGCGTACCTGTGACTCTCGGGCTGACGCTGGTGACCTGGGTTTGCCAGCTGAGCTTGGAATCGATAAATAGGCCTCATTTCTTAACATTATACCTTTTTAATTTTTAAAGTATTAAGAAAGATATTAATCTATTGCTATTTTTGCATGGTTTAAAATGTGTTTTGTTTCTATTGCAGATGACAGATCTCGCACAGTTCGTTTTAAAATTTCCATTCAGTATATGGAGTTTGTGTAAATATGTAAGTAATCTAAAACGTATTTATAATTTTTTTACCTTGTTTGATACTTATAACTTGATTTATGAATTATTTACGTGTATGAACTTAAGAGAACTTTATATAAAACCAGGTGATTTAAACGTCACGCGGTGAACCTAGTTACTTACTCTTTGTAAGCGGTCCAACATCACAGTAACCAGTTCCCCACTAACAAGAAGAAATACCACATATAATAGTAACTAACTGTTCAAGTACCAATCCTCCACCAATTAAAAAAAAACTTAAAAACTGTTGATTTTATATTTTTCAAGACTTTTATCAAGGGTTTAAAGAATTTATTCTTATAAGACTCACAGTTCACTTACAATGAGATACATCAACTAATATAACATAATATTATTTGCTAGATAGTACACACGAACTAATATAATATTTATCAAGAGAAAGTACCATTAATGTAAGTAGTGGTAACAAATCGTAATATACGTATGTAATATGTTTTTATATATATAATATATATATAAAAACATATTAAACAGTAAATTGTGATGATGATATTAAGATCACCTTGCACAGTAATCAAATATATTAACACTTGTTTATCATATCACATCCACAGCCTTTAGTAGTCCATTGCTGGGCATAGGCCTCTTTTTAGAAAGGGGGTTTTGGCCTACTATACCACGCTAGCCAGACGGGTCGGTATAGGGATTTTATGAAGTTTTCCTTCTCTTTGCAGTGCTGTTGTTTGCTCCCTTAGTCGGAACTTACGACACCCACGGGATGAGTAGGGGTGGCGACACTCCGTATTCTTAATCCGTCACCACACATATTCAATACTAACTTATAAAATGCTTGGTTTCAGGGAGCAGATACCATGAAAGGTATTGCATCTTCAGTAATGCCACCTATTAATGGTTGATTCGAAGACAATAGAATATGTACTCTTTAGTATAAAGAGGAGTCATATTTTGTCATCTTGAGATTATAATAAAAAAAATCAATAGCTTTATCGATAATACATACAACAATTATATTACTTATAGAATATTGTACAACGTTGCAGATAACAATTCAAAATATAATATTAAAGCAGCTGTCACATTGTAATCTCTTTAGGTAATAATCGATTGCAATGACTAAGGACCCTGGTTGAGTATAAAGTAATAGAACTATGTATTACATGATGTATATAAGTAAATATTAAAGTTTATAAATGAAATAAAAGCGATATTATTGAATTCCTATTTTCCTCACGATCTTCAGTCACCGCTTATCTAAATCAATGTTGTTAAAATCTGCAGGAGACATTATTTTTTGTTCTCCTGGTAAAATTTGGGTTGCCTCAGGATCCTTTTATTTTTATTTTTTTCAATAGATAATTCTTGCACTTCCGATGAAATCAGGATCATTACAGATAAACAAATACAGACGTTAGGTTAAATTGACTTTCACATTCTTTGTTAACAAAGACTTAGAAGCACCATCTATGAATAACACAAATATATTTTTTATTTTTATTTAAAAAGACAACGCCCGCATTAGCAATATATCCTGTGTCACGGGTGACTTTACAAACATACATGAAACGAACACAAAAAACACCCACACTCAGAGCAACAATTTGTGGATCACACAAAGTGTCGTCCCATGTGGAGTTTGAACCTACAACACTTGGCGCAGTAGGAAGCCGCGTGGCGACCACCTAAACCACTGCCACCAACCAAATCCGTGCAGTCTAACATCCAACGTCCAACGTAGAAAGTGAACTCACAACACTTGCGCAATAGCATCTTGTGAGCAAATATTAACTTGTTTAACCGCACACAGAGGTGATTCGGGACTTTGGGACGATACTCGTTATTTAATTCTATTATATAAAAACTGACACAGAAAAATTCAATGCCCATTGTCTTCTTCATCACTAGTAACCATTATTAGTCGAACAGTTTCAGTCTCATAGACGATACCTATATTGTCTATATCAAATTGTGCTTGACTTGGCATTTCAGGTTGCGAACTTGTTGTTGCCGTTTGTCTAATATATTAATCACCTAAATGTTCCTGCCAGCAAATGTTACAGCAGATCTATCAGTATGATCACATGTAATAATTTCTCAAATCTATCCCTTATTTTATAGTAAGAAATTCATTTTGGAAACAGAAAACTAATTATCTTCTCCCAAAAGTAATGTTATAAACATACCATAGAGATTGAATATGTCATGTTTCATTTGAACTTTGAAACCTCGCACATTGCTTAAAACACACGTAACGTTGATGACTTAAACCATTCTACAATCATAAAGCTTAAAAGCATTAGACTTTCGGCAGATGTTACTAAGCTTACTATAGAAAAATGATAAGTGCATGTATAGTAAGTATAAAACTAATTATGAATACGAGTTGCAGAAATAACGTTATCTCTAGCGGCAGAAAAATGAAAAAAAACACGCTATCTTTAATTTTGAAGACCTGAGTTTTTTTATTGGAAACTTACTGTTACGTAACTGTAAAGTTAGATATTATTTTAATCACACAACAGTTTTTGGTACAATTTGTTAAAGACTCTTAAAATAAACAATAAAAACTTCATCGAACCTGATTAGCCTAACCTATCTATTAGATTAACCTACCAAATCTCAAATCCGCAACCTTCCGCCATCGTTCCACACGGCAAAATTTTCATCCCCACCACTCGGATAATTGGCGCTCCACCACTGTGCGCTTTACAAGACACTTTTTGCCTCGCACTACCAATCTGTGGAAGAAGTTATATTCAAACCTTAAAGAAAAGCGTACTCCTTCCTCAAAGGCTAGCAACGGGCTTGTGACTCCTGAGTTGCAGGCGTTCCTGGACGAGTGTAGTCGCTTTTCATCAGGTGACCCGTCTGCTTGTTTGCCCCCTGTTCCATAAAAAAAAACAACTGTTTTTACCACTAAATATAGTGTACTACAAAAACTGTATCAAGAAAAATAACAAGACAAGTCTTGCTGTTAGTACTAAATTATAAGTGCAGCCCCAGGGCAGACAGAATATTTTTCCCCGCTTGGCGCCATTTTATACCTAATTAAAGAAATAAGTCAGTGTGTAGTAGCACCTGAGAATTAAACATTTTAATCGAACCCAATAATATACCTATAACCAAAAATTGAACACGGCACTTAATAATACTAATTAGAAAGAAAAGCATATCGTAATAAAACTCAATGACCTAAATATTTTATACAAATAAAAGCCAACGTATTGAAAGCGTCTTTTAAGAAAAAGATTACGCGCGCTTCTTTAATATTTTTGTCAACATTGTGTACCTTTAAAAAAATATAAAAAATGCGTATTTTACAAGAATAAGAGCATCGAATATCTCGTCTTAATTAAATGCTCAGTTTAAGGATCCAATTTTTTTACAATTTGACAGAAATGGTAAAATACTAAATTGGCTTTATTGAAATAAAACCATATTATTTTTTAATAAGCAAACGTACACGAAACGTACATTATAGCATTTAATTAACTGTTTAATCCTGTTATATAATTCGCGACACCATATCTGTAATCAAAATAGACATTTAGACACATTGTTCACAATATTCATTATGAACTTTCTGAAGCTAAAATTTAAATGTCGAAACAAGACACGCGAAACATTTCAAAGAGGCTTTTGTCCTCAATGTCTAACGAAGGTCATTATGTACTTGTGCTTATTAGATTTAACCCGCTCTACTTGCTTAAATACAAACAAAACACGGCCTTTAAGGTCTTACACACATTACTGTCTCATTAGTTGATTTAATCGTTACGTCACAACTAACGGGGAACAGTTGTGTGGGAGTCTTAGGACTAGTGTCCACCCACGTGGCGTTATCAAGACGAGCACATTTGAGATGTAGACACCTGATTTGATCAAACATATCAAAATGACTGGTTATAGATTAACTAAAATAGCAGTCTTCCTTCGAGTCCTATTCCCAAACCAGGTTGGGCGACTTTAAGTCTACTTCAATTTTTTACACGAAGCGACTGCCATCAGATCAGAAGTATTATGCGATTTCAAAGTTCTGTTAAAAGACTGTTGTTGGTCTTTTTAGCGCTCGAACTACGCGTAACGATTGCCAAAGATGTTCGTATGCCAACCGGGACTAACGTGCTCTGCGAGGCACGGTGGAGTCTGAATGTGTTAAGAAATGGTCACCTTCTATACTGTCATGACTAGGATTGCTGAACTTCGCAAAGTGTTAATCTACTCGGTTACCACTTAGTCACGAGCCCCTCCCCCCCTAGACTAAAATAGCGTTATTATTTGGTATTGCTTTAACAATATACCTATAGGTTTACTTTTGACATGGTTTTTAATCGATTTTTTAAAGAACGTTTTAAAGCAAATGTTAAGCAATTAATTGGAATAAAGAAAATGCCAACTTATACAGTAACATAATGTGACAACTTCCATAGTAACTGCTTATACTGCGTGGCATACAACTTCTCAACATTAACCATTATGCCGTCGGCCACATGTTTACCTACATTAGTCGCAGAATTCTTTTTTTGGTCCGGGGGATATGACAGTCTTTCGTCCACAAAATTATGTTTTATGTGTAAAATGAATACTAGTAACGAGATCCAACTAACTTAAATAGAGTGGGTTTACATTAGAATTGCTCTGGGTAAGGTTCAAACCGGCAAACTCAACAGAGCCATACGCCTTTATTACATTACACTACTATGGTTTAACTGCTTTCTGGTGTACCACTCGTTCTATCGGGTGTTCTATTTTTCGTACATAACTTATTTCACGGTAGACAAAGACAACAACATGTTACTTGAGAACTACATACGAGTTTCCTTTAATATAAAATCATCCCCACCGGTTGCTTTATAATTTCTGCCTTATTTACACGCGGAAACCTCTGGCCGTCCGAGAGATCTCGGATTCGAACCGATAAAAACCCCACGGTGTGGCATGTGACGCCTAAAAACTGAATCCAGGAACAGCTTTTATTAAGACATCCGGATCCCTCCAAGTGCTTTCCCGTAAAAGCACGGGCTCCACTTTTTGGTCAATATCTCGCAATTAAGCGGTAGTCAGGTACACAGAGAGTCCCTCTGGCCGCTTAATTTTTTGACAATAATTTATAAATTACATTTTCTTAAGTATTTTTCATTTGTGCAAACTTTAATATTTAAAATCTAGCTAGACTTTTATATAATTGAGCAATGAAAGCTTCATATAACATGACGTCGGTGCTCAGCCTTTTATTGCTAAATTAAAATACCAAGGACGGGACAGGGTAATAGAATAATTTAAGTTAAATAGTTTTAATATCACATTGATATATTTTCTTTTTACTGAATTTATGAAATATTTGACATCTATCATATGCATTTTACAACAAAAATATACTTTGATCAAAAACAACAGATTTTTACTTAATTTTATTGAGTTTATATAAATATAGATGTATACTTATTTATACAGACGTAATTAGTGCTGTAGCATAGCACATATACAAATAGTCATTTTGATAACTATAAGTTCTTAATTAGGTTTCGCGCATATATTTGCAATAATTTTCTTATACATACAATGATAATATACACAATAATTTATGGTATTCCGATTGCATTAAAAGTAATATCCAAATGCAGAATATTAATAGTTTAATTTCATTTCCTTATCTGTGATAAAACTGTATTATCATAAAGATTATCATGATCAGACTAGATATATGTAGCGCGCTATTGAGTTAGAGAATTATGTTTAACTAAATTAAACCAATATAAGTTTATACAAAATATTATTTGTAAATAAAAAAATACACTTAATTATCAAGTCGTCAACGTCAAACAGCATTCTTAATAAACTTTTTAATATAATATATTCTTCGGTATCAAACTATACGCTTGTATAGCTTTTGCTATATACATGTATAATGCAAAACATTTCTATATCCTGTAAAAATATGCCACCAAACTATTTCATACGCTTCGGATTACGTAACAGTTTTAAAATCAAACTCAATGCAGGAATGTTGCTCAGTAGAATGATTAAAACATTATAATAATTAGGATAATGGTGGGCTAATAATGTAAATACTACATTCCTATATAAGTCCAATAACAAAAGCCTACAAAAATTAAACGAATTATCACATTTATTATCCATACACACCTATCTTCTATATGAATATGGTGTACCTATTTACGAGTGTACTGGTACTGGATGTAAACAGTGACAGTGAGTATAAGCCTAATTTAATTATAAAAACGTTTGCTTACCGTAGAACATGTACTTATAAAATATTATTTAAATATTTTTTGTATTATTAGTTTCCTACTTAGTTAATATCAACCCTTCAAAACGCTTACGCAAACTCAAAACATATATTGTTGTACGGGATGATCGCATGTGAAAAAGAAAAGAAAACGTCCTCCTAAAAGTTACTCAAATATTCAAAATCACAAATATTCTTATAAAATCAATATTCAACACTGTGAATGTTGTTTGGGCAAATAAAATTGGTTCTTTATACACACCGTCACATAGATACATACATATTCTTTATACAGATAAATCATAGTACCGAAATATGTTATTTTCTTATGGCAACGCACATAAAATCACATTACCGATCTGGCAACCCATAACTTGGCGAGTGTTAGTTTCACCGAGTTTGCCGCAATATATTTATTTCCTGTGCTAATATTTTTGGCCATCTGCTCTCTGTTTTACACTTAAACATAACAACACATACCATACATATAGTACACCTAGATACAAACCTATTAACATAAAGAAATTTTTATATTCTGCCCTACTTCCTTTAATTAAAGTAACTTAAAACACAGATAGCAATAGTAAGCATAAGAAAAACAATAGATAAAGAAACTATAGATAGGATAGATATTTTTCTTCAAGAATATGGAGATCAAAAGTAATAACATTGAAATTTGACACTCATGCGTATAAGACATATACATGTAAATAGATTTCTACAATAAATGAGATTAGCTTAGTTTATAATATAGTATGAAATTATTTGACTAGACCGTTCGGTACGTTCATATATGAATTAATAATATCTTTAGGTTTCTTCTCAATGTCGACATCTAACGTAATATAAGTTGGGTTGCTAACAGCCGTGTTGATTATTGCATTTTTCGCGTTGTTTCTCATTTCGAACACTTCGTCAGTTTCCTCGTCTATCGTCGGACACATCGTCATGTTAGGTGACACGTTGCCTTCGTGGTCCGAGTCCGAACCGCCTCTGGCCGGTAAGTTGTTCAAAGTCAACATGGGCGTTAACTCCGACCCGCAACTGCTTGCTTCGGATACTTTAGGATTGAATTTACGAACGTCGAAATCGAATTTGTTATCTTCGGGCCGTGGACTGAATACATTTGGCCTTGGGTTCATCTTAAGGTAGCCCTCCTCATCTGTAATTGTTACACAATAATAAGGGAATGTTTAGGAGTCAGGTTAAATACCAGTACTATTTAGTAGTTTTACTGTCATATAAATTAAATAAATAAATATACGGTTATTGTTACGGTCCCTTTTAACAAAAATATCTTCTATGGCAGGTGCTCTCATTATAAATTGCTAAACACGTTGTTTTTTTTTTTTTTATAACATATATAAGAGATCAATCATGTCTTTAAAAAATGTAGTTTATCCATATGCAAAGTGAAAACGGATGTATTACTCGTATTATAAAATATTCGGTAGGTCTTTTTGTGAATTCTTGAAAATAGGTTGAATACAAATTACATTCTTACATACAAGTAGATATTCTTTAAGCCATTTTGATAATGATAAAAATAATTTAAATAAATTAAGTTCTCCATATTTTTGTTAATCAAATAGTCACTAAAACTTGTGTGGTATTATAGGTATATTTTTGATAAATCAATGAAACGTGGTTAGAAGAAGGATCGACGAGTCCTAATAAGTAACACCAATCTTGTTCTCAGTTAATACAAAGCAAAACAAACAAATAAATAACTGTGTTTGGAAAGGGTATAGAAATACAGATAGGTGGTTTTAGTTATAGATTTGTGTAGTATAAAAAGTAAAGTGTCAATTTATAAACACAATTTCCTTTGTTAGTGACAACGAGTATGTACACCATGCGTAGATTTACCGTGTATTGTGTAATCATAACGTGGTGTCAACCGTCCCGTCTGATAAAAGGAAATAAACATTTACAATTGTAACATCATCTGTATAACAACATCTTAATCAGAAAATAAGTCGAATTTGTATCGGAAAGAGTGAAAATCAAACGATATAAGTGTCAATATTTTAAAACTCTTACTGATTATGTTTGGTTTCGAGAAAGTTCACTTATTTATTTTGATGATAAGTAAATATTATCAAAACTATCCTCACATCTGCCAAAGCGATGCTTCTGCTTTAAAATGAGTTCTGTGTAAGAACTTCTGACCAAAGCATATTGTACGCAAACTCTGTTTCGTTTTTGTGGTGAGGTGGGTGTCAAAAGTTTACAGGGGCTTGGCAAGTATGATCTATATAGTGTTGAAGTGTAGAAGTAAGTGTAGAATTTGTGAATGGATTCTAGAATAACTTTAAAGTTTTTTTGTGGTAAGTAGGAACCTCATTCAATCAGTGTAAAGTAACGAAATGTTTTTTCTGCCATTACGTGCCGAAGTACGGCTCTGTATTGTGATATACTATAGGGACCACTTACATCACACGAGATGTATTTTAATTTCAGATTTACTAGTATAAATAGTTAGTATAGTAGTAGTCCGTGTGGTGACGGATTAAGAATACGGAGTGTCACCACCCCTGTTCATCCCGTGGGTGTCGTAAGAGACGACTAATGGAGCAAACTACGCAGGACAATAGCACTGCAAAGAGAAGGAAAACTTGAAACAAACCCTATATCAACCAGTCTGGCCAGCGTGGTATAGTAGGCCAATACTTCCTTTCTAAGGAGAGGCTTATGTCCAGCAGTGGACTAGTAAAGGCTGTTGATGATGATGATGATGTTGTATTTGTTGTAGTATAAATAAATAAATACTTAATTATACGCAAAATGAGGATAGACCACTAAATTATGTTATCTTCGTTATAATTCGATATCATATCTACTATGTTATAAAGTTATAAGTTATATTACCATTTTTTACTTCTGCAGCGTGTAAAATACAGTACTTAATTATTAATTTGTAAGTAGATCCTTATTATATATTTGTAGTAATACTGTAACAAGAAGCTTACCGAGTTGTGTAGGCGTTGTGGGGAAGAAATTTCTAACTTCATTTACGTAGTGGTGAGGACTTGGCGTAACCAAATTATTATAATCGGGTGCGTTCATCATTATCAGGTAGTCTTCATGTCCTGAAGGCGTAGCATTCATGTCTATGTACGCTGAGTTCAAATCCACATAGTGCTGAAAAAAAAACAGGTATTACAAACTCTTTATATTACTCGTAGTACGTTTATCGCTGAAGTAAAAGAAAGAGCATGGTTCGTGAACTCATGTATTTGGCTAAATGATTTCCAGACAAATATTTGAAAAAGTTGTTGGAAACATGAAATTGAGTTCTTAAATATTTATTTCAAAGTTAGTGAAAAGTTAAGTCGGAATCAAATTAGATAAAACCGCATGGTGCAAGTAGTATTTCTATGAAGTATGTTATAAAAACTGTCCCTAAAAAAACTTATTTCATGGTGGTGATGCCATCTATTAAATTCAGAGAGAACCGTGTATACATGTAGTCAAACTGTGCGACTAACACTGTTGTAAAAGTTTCGCCCTCTATGTCTAGTCACGACATCTATGAGAAACCTCACAAAACATGATCTAAAATGTGTTTCAAAGTTCTAAAATACTAAATATTGCTTACATTTCGTACGTTATCTTCTAGAAAACCTCCAATAATTTCCTGGAGTTGAGTGAATGAGGGCCTTGCTGTTGGTTTATGTTCCCAACATCTTAGCATTACATCGTATAACCTATCATCTGCATAAGTCGGCTTCGCCAGACGTTTCCTGTAAAGAAAATATAGTTTCTTTACCTTATCCAATTTTTGACTTTTTTGCTACGAAACACAACATTGACGTGCTATAAGAATCAAAATGAAATATCTTGATATTCTTGTTTTAGTACCTACACTTTAAATTCAAATTAACTAAAGCTGTAAACTGGAAGTCACCAATATACTCAAAATTATTTTACGAACACCAATGATAAAGGTGTATATAATAGAGAGAACATACATATATTCATATTTTCACCTTTAAGGTGCTTATTAATCTTTTCAACGATGGCAATCTATTACCAAACGAACCTACGAATTTGAGCAGGAATCGTTTGTGTCATACTTTTAAATCGTGAAATGTCATCAAAACTCGTTGTCATGACAACGAAAAGTTTTTTGTTTTGATTATTAATACATACCCTTCAGAGAGCCACCGCAATAAATTGGCTGGATCCATATTTGGGTACGGTGTCTTGGCAAGGGAGAATAGTTCCCAAAGAACGATGCCAAAAGACCACACGTCTGACTGCGTAGAGAATATACGGTCGGTCATACACTCGATCGCAAGCCACTTCACTGGGAGTAGACTCTGGAATCAACAATTATTGGCATGAGAAATGTAGGTACACTCTAAAAGCCTATTCTCGTACTTAAAATATTTACGAAGACTTGGTACTTTCGTTTTTTAACTTTAAAGATGATCATGATTTTGCTGCCAATTTGTATTTTAGACGACTGTAGTTTTGCTTATTTCTTTTAGTGGAGAATAAAATGAGTAATACAGAATGTAAGAGGATGAACATGTTCTGACAGCACAGACCGTCACTTGGCACAACCCTTAAAGGTCGTACAAATTCATCCACCACTAGGAAAATAATATGATAATAAGGATAATATGCACTACTCCACAGAGATGGAGAGCTATACTTTAGCACATATGGAGCGGCTCGACCGAAGGGATAACACGGCTTCGCAGAAACTGGGGATTTTTTCTTTACTTTTCACCTAACGAGTGAAGTTACTGGAGGACTAAGTTTTCCTGATTATTGGAATGGTGGGGGGAGGAAGTCATACAAAAGGCGGCAACGCAATTGTGTCTTTTGAGTTGCAGGTGTCCATGGATGGCGGTAGTCACTTACCATCATCTGACCCGTCTGCTGGCTTACTCCCTATTCCATAAAAAGTGGCATATGGTAGGACTTGGAGGTGAGTACGGTTATCTCTTGTCAAAGGCAAATAGTATGGCATTGATCATACAATGGGCTTACTTTTAGTCAATGTAGAAAACAACAATACCATTATTTTGGTTAATTAATAACTTAAAACAGAAGAAAATAAAATATAGTCTGACATTCTTCTTTGTTTATTTGTAGGTATATTTAAAAGAAGAACGAATTTAAATTCAAGGCAACAAAGTAATAAGTAGTCACGTTTACGACGCTGGATTTATAAAGCGATATGTTTATTTATTTTAATTATTTTTGTCACGCTACCATTGACCTTGATTGCTTCTTACAAATGGCTGCCAACCCAATTTTTTTTTATAAAAACTGCGGTAAATGTAAAATTAATTCGTAATGACACGGTGCCGTACTGTGAACCCTGAAGATAGGTGAACAACCTGAACTCCGCACTCAGTAGTAACATCTAGAGGTTAAAACAGGCGTATGTTAAGAAATTGTTCGATGTGTATTGTTTTCCGGCGCAATGATGTAGATGTTAGAATTTAAATACGGTGAAGTACAAGATGAGACAAATTATTTCTTATACAGTACAGTGGAACAGAGTGTGAATAGTTAATAAAGATCAAGAATTGTATAAGCCAGTACAAAGTCGATATTTTAGCATAAGTTTAGTCTTAAATAACTTGGTATTATATGTGGTTTGTTTACGTTTTCTTTCTTCTGGTACTCGTCATTCTTGTAAATGCTTCTGGCAAGGCCGAAATCGCAGATCTTTACGATGTTGTCCTCAGCTAATAACACATTTCTTGCTGCTAAGTCACCATGAAGAACCTGAAATTTTGTAGTGCAAGTTTAATGTTTTGAAAAAAGTATGTAAACAACTTTTCATTCCGCTTAGTAGGTTTATTAACTGACCTTTCTGCTGGCTAAGTACTCCATACCCCGCGCAATTTGGAAGGCCCACGCAAGCAGGTCACGAGAAGTAAGCGGTCGAGGATTGCGACCATCAAAGCTGTAGTCACTTTCGTAATTCGAACGCCATTCAGGTTGCACATATCCCTCTGATACTGAAATATCAGAAGGCATATTAAATAATTAACAGATTTCAGCTAAAGAAATAGATCCGATGAAACTTAGTAAAATTACTAATTACATCCGAAGATGCACCTTTATTACTTAAGTATTCTTTCAATTCTTGACCGAATTTTATAAGTAAATATATTTGAAAGACGACCGGATGGCGTAGTGGTTTGTGTAACGGACTGCTATTCCAAAGGTCGCGGGTTCGATACCCGCTCAAGTCAAACATTTGTGTGCATGAACATTTCATGTTTGATTTGGTCTGGGTGTTTCTATGTATGATATGTATGTATTTACAAAAAAAGTATATATGTATTTCTATCAGTTGTCTAGTACCCATAATACAAGCTTCCCTCCTTGGCAAAGCGGGAGACAAAATGAAGTAAAATAGGCATACACCCTTTTAAACAGGGAAGCACCACGGCCACAAAATATTACGGGTCCTACATGAGCTATATTTGATTTCTATAATATGTATGGCAGAATCGCCTAAACGCACGGAAATTCACCCTAGTTGACACAAGATCCCCATAGTATACCGCCCCAGATGTCACCTGCAAGCTATTCAGCATTATATTACGTTCATTATACCAAAGACTACATTCCCAGAGGATATGATAAGCAGACTGTTCATAATGAGAGTTAGGTGTTGAGCATTGACACAATGGTGACTCGACTAATTTAAATGAATACAACTTGCTCTTAAAGTTACCATGACCCGTAAGAAATTGAGCGACACAGTGATCCACCTCAAGCCATGTCCTCGACAACCGTTCGCGAACAGATGGAAAAAATTGGTAAAGATGGCGCCCCTTGGATGATTCGTCCCAGCGTTGCTGCCATTCGTCTATGAGGTCATTATAGACATCGGACTGCTGTTGAAGCAATCTTGTAATTTTACCGCGATACCGCGCGCCCAAGAAATCGCATTCCATGTTTTGTCTTGAATAGTACATGGCTGCACGTCTCTGCACCTCGAGATCGACCGGAAGGACACACAAATTGTGTGATAAACAAGTTGTTGTTCTGAGTCTAGGTGTTCTTTGTGCCCGTTTCATGTATGTTTGTAAAGTCCCCAATGCGGGTGTTCTCTTTTTTTTTAAATAAGAAAATATAAACAAAAGAAAAGAGACGTTAACTATACTGCGTCATCCGTGTGGTGACGATTAAGAATACATAATGTCACCACCCCTATTCATCCCGTGGGTGTCGTAAAAGTCGACTAAGGAAGAAAACAACGCAGGACAACAGCACCGCAAAGAGAAGGAAAACTTGAAACAAACCCTATACCAACCCGTCTGGCCAGCGTGGTATAGTAGGCCAAAACCTCCTTTCAGAGGAGAGACCTATGTCCAGCAGTAGACTATCATAGGCTGTTAATGATGAACTATACTGCAACTACATATGCACTACTACTACTATACTAACTATATGCAGCTAAAATATATTACCTACTCCTGTCAACATTCACAATTACTACTACTAAATAAAAAATCACAGCAGTCAATACATACGTTAAGTATTTAAATGTAATAAATTTACTACTTTTCTTAATAACATATGTGCCAATGACGTGCGTTAAATGTAAAAGAGATAGTAGATACTTAGACTCCACTGCACTGAAAAGAGAAGTAAAACTTGAAACAAACTCTATACCAACTCGTCTGACTTCTTATATTGTTGCGATGCGAATCAGAACCAGGAAAAGAGAGTACTGGAGAAGCTTCTGTACCAACATAGAGAACAACAACCCGGTCAACAGAGCCAAAAAGATATTGTGTAGCAAAGACGAACACAATCATTGCTCACTGAAGAAGCCTGATGGTGAGTATACCTAAACAGACTCGGAAGCCTCAGCGCTGTTATTGAAAACATTCTTGCCTGAATGTCGCATGACAGATGTGATGGAAGCACGGGAAGATGACAACTATTCACCATTAAGGCGACGGACTGTCCTCTTTGCAGAGGATGTCTAAAGGCAAGAAAAATGGCCGTCCATGCAATCCTGGAATGTGAGGGAGTGGCAACACAACGGACAAGTATCCTTCCTTTCCTTTTCCTTCCTTTTCCTTCCTTCCTGATACAAAATCGCTCCTAGAAGCCTGTGAACGCCCCAGGAGACTTCTGCGCTTTTGGAAGGAGCTTGGTTGGCTCACCTAGCCAACCTGTCCTCGACGCATAAAGGACCATCTTAAATCTAAATGCGGAAACCGGAGCCCACAACCAATACCAATACCAACCCGTCCGACCAGTGTGGTATAGTAGGCCAAAACCTCCTTTTTGAGGAGAGACTTATGTCCAGCAGTGGACTATACGAAGGGCTGTTGATGTGATGTGTGTGCTAAATGCAAGAGATGAAACATTGCATAATTTTGAAATGTATATACACGTGTATACTAAGAACTAAAAAATCTATTTTAAAACAAAAAAAATACGCAATGTGGCAACATTACAAAGCTAATGAATTTGGTAGTCATGATATGATATTTACCTTTTACAAGTTCCACTTGCTGATTACGATTGTCTGCTAAAAATTGATAGCATACGTTTAAATGTAGGTATGAGTTTCGTTTGGAAATGTATCAAGAAGATTAGAAAAGAGGTTGACATAAAATCTCCTACGTGGTTGAACCAAAAACGTTAGCTGTTAAAAAAAACGAAACATCAAGCCATCTTTTCGCTTTAAATACAAGACAAGAAAAAAAAACTGAATAGTCTTTATATGCTTATAAATATAAAAGACAGTCCTACTTAACGCAACATTGATTTTGTTAAAATTGATCTAGATTTAACGTAGTTGATTTCTTTTCCATTTTTTTTATTGCAATCAATTTAGGTATAACATTACCCGTTTTAACCAAAGTCAAATTTATATTTTATTTGTTACATTTTTATTCTACGACTTAGTCTGATCGTAGAATACATTATCGCACTGGGGCCAAAAGAATTAAGGGATTTTTTGCTTTACTACATGCAAATCATTCTGATGCGAAGTTCATTATTCCATGGCTAGTTTTTATGATCTATGCGTTGTAATAAAAAGAATTGAAGTGTTTCAATTAATATTAATGACGACTTAATAAAATATAACGTAGAACTTACTTTTTCTTGCTGATCGGTTTGTGTTAGCAGAATTGACGAATGTGTGATCGGTCTCTTGCGTGTTACAGGCCCCAAAATAGTCAGACTGAACACTGTATGGAAGATAAGATTAATTTAATTTATTGTACATGTTGGTTCTTGTGACATTAAGTCCGATATTATTCAAGAAGTATGGCACTTACTTAAGGAATCCTCTTAAGTGTCTCTTGGAGCTACGATAAAAGGTCATCGATCAGATATAATTAGTTTCACTTCAATATTGTTTAAAGTTACAACGATCTAAGGTAATTTAGGTAAAGTACTATTAAAAGCGGATGGTAATTAATATAGTCACCTAATTTTAGATGTATAGTATAACTTTATTTGCCAATAATACATATATAATATTTAAAAAGGGAAGCTTCAGTTTAATATAGTCGTGCAGTTAATAATATTGATTGTAAGCTTAATACAAAAATGGGATTTTCCAAAAAATTCAAGGTTAAAACTCCAAAAGGTTAAAATCCTTACCCAGTACTGCCGCTGCTGCAAGAAAACCCTCTATTAACTCTGCCTAGATTCTTCTCTTTGTTATCTGTGAGCTGATCGATGAACACCTCGCGGTGCCTCTGCATGTAGTTGTGGATATTACCAAACTTGCAATATTCGACAATCACGCTCAATTCACCTGTGTAATTATTGAACCTTAATAAAATTCTCCCAAAACCGGTTTTTAAAAGAACAACCATTATTCACACTGATACATTGGATATCATTAAACAAAATATTACTGTATGTCAGGTCGAGGGTTCGATTCCGACCCAAGACAAATAATTATGCGATTAGTACCATCTGTTTGTCATTTGTTATGTCTGGGTGTAATAATATATGTAATAACTATGTTTATACATATCATAAGTATGTATTTTGGAACTATAGTATGTTTATCAAGAGTCTGGTTATCATAGTACAAGGCTCTGCCTAGTTTGGAATCAGACGGCCGTATGTGTGATGTATGAGGTCATTATTATTACATTGAGTTAATAACAAACAATGAAACACATATAAGAGAGAGAAGAGAAGAGAGTCTTACGTTTTCCAACATTTTTAGTGCACGCTCCTAGCAAGTTCACTATGTTTATATGCTTCCCCAGATGTACCATTATTTTTAGTTCAGACGCCAGTGCTTTAATATACATATTGTCTGCAGTTTTCTTCACCATTTTGACAGCGACTTCTGTTGTTTCCTCGGCGTTTATAATACCACGTGCTTCTGCTTTGTACACCACTCCGAAAGCACCGGCACCTAGTTGTTTGCCTAAAACGTGATTGAAAGTAATGTTTGGTTTGCATAGAAAATCAATTAGAGAAACTTGCTCAGAAGTCCAAATTTTAACTTTGCATGTAAATAAACGATCGTATTCAAATGACGAGTTTCTTAAGATGATTTTAATAAGACTGATCCGTCCCATACGCTCAACACCAGAATCACGAACACAACACACCGAGTAATGACACTCGGGTAGACTCGACAGTAATGACAACTTTTTTAGGGAAACAGTTAAACTGTCTCGACGAGTGGAAAATATAAATTTAAATTAAAAGAAACTAACAACCCCAAGATAGAAAATTAAGGAGTGAAGAATACAGATTATTACAATTTGTCAAGCCGGTGATACTTTTTTAAAGGTTATTTTTAAAATTATTAGTTTGTATTCAATCTAAAATCTATATGTAAAATAACAAAATTAAAGTAAAGGGATCATCAGTACACGATAATTAGTGTAAACATGTCTAAATGTTATTTTAAACTACTGTCTTCATTTGTCTTAATTCAAAAGAAAGTTCTTTTATTCAAAGAAAAATAATTAATAATATAAGCAACATCAAGCCATAATAAATAGAGTATATACGTCATATTATTATACTTCCTAGTCTTGTTAATTAATAGTATTTCATATCTTATAGCTAACTAACCCACATGAATGCATGCGTTACAATATCGACCAATGGTATTTTACCATTGGTCGATATTGTAACGCATGTATCTTGCTTACCCAAAATTAATCTCTCCGATGGGAATTCAAATTTGTCATCGTATGGTAGCAGCTCAGCTTGTTCGTCGATACCCAGATCGGGGTTAAGTGATTTTGTGATACCTTCTTTAAAATATAAAAGGCCAGCAGCGGCTAACTCTCGCCTGAATTGTTTTTCCTTTCTTATTTTTATTGTTAGGTATATCACGACTATTATTAATACGAAGATTATAACGATAATCACGCTCAAATAGGTAGCGTATGTGCTTTGTCCTGAAAAGATAAACATCGAAAAGATGTTTTCATTACACACACGAAACAAACAAAGCATTAGCTGTCATAAAACAGCGTCCCTCTTTACGTATGCTGTATTAAAAATTACAAATATCTTATAATGAGATTGTAAGCATTTGAGGACAAAAAAGTACTTGTATAAGTGTTAAACAATGATCTCACATGTTTAGAATACAATTAAATATATTGCCTTATCACACATTCGTATCTCTTGCAGATTTCATTCAGAAGAGATTGTAAGACAAAGAGGACATTTATGACCAATATATTAAGCAAATGGCGAGCACAGAGGAATGTATACATCATGACAGAATTGAGTACAAAGAGCTAAGGGGATTGAATATATATAAGTATGTATTTAGATACATAAATATAAAATGTATGTAGAATGATCAACGATATAGAACCAAATATTTAAAGCTAATGAGTTACAGTAAAAATCCTGATTCTATACAAATTATAATTAAATGTACTCATTTGTATTAAAGTAAATATATTTTTGCTTGACATAAAATAAGTATTAAGCCCAAGAAGGTAGTGTGCCTATTTTCTAAATAGTAGTAAATAAAATTTATAGATAAACATACCTGAAACAAGTGAATACACTCGTCTCGCTTCTGATCCGTCACTATTAGACACACATTCGTAGGTACCAGTATAATTATCATCCACTTGAAACTGTATTGTTGAGTTGACAAAAGTGCGATTGACCGCATACGTAAAAATCGTCACTGTACTGTCATTTTTAAACAAAACTGCATCCTGAAAAAAAAGGGGTGTAAAATATGTTACATTGCGAAAGTGCTACTTGGAAACCGTTTTCTAATGTTGCAATCAAATTTTTAGATATAATCATGTATAAATAATTTATGATAAAACAAATTAAGGACTGCATGAAAAGTATTGGGCAGGAAAAAAATTTAACACAAGCGACAGGAGAAATAAACAATCAATTCAATCCGAGTTACACTAATTTAGAATCGGAATATTTTTTTTACCGTTTCAAACGAAAATTGACTCAGAACCTTTGAGGTTATATAAAAAAAATATATCTTATTATACACAACTTTCACATTTTATTTTGCGATAGGATGCCTAGTTTCGTTAACAAAAATGAAGAACCATGCTTCACCCGTTAAAGATTACCCAATTTAACTATCGTTACTTGTAAGCCCTTTTTTTCCTGCTACTTACTATTAATATTATGTAATGCATAATTCATGTATTTAGAGCTATGGAATTTCCTGCATATTTTAATTTTCTAATAACATACACAAATAAAAAAGCAGACAAAAATAGAATTCAAATTTAACATAGAAAAATATTTATTATAATATATACTCGTATAATTAATGTATGTATACCTTATACCACTCTATTTTTGGCGCTGGTACTCCCTCAGCTAGACAATTCAGTTCAATGTGTTGTCGTCGATAAACTTCCTCAGTCACATCAGTAAGTGGCAATCTGATTACAGGAGCCCGAATAGCTATAAATAGCAAATACATACCATGAATGTTAAAGAAATCAAGATTTCATTTTATCTATTCTATTTTAAATAGGAATATAACAGTTAATCCAATTATAGGTTGTATACACACAGAAAAAAAAGTATCTTTTTGTGGCACAAGGATGTCATTGTGGAACGTAAAAAAATCGTATGTACGAGCAGGTGAATCACCTGATGGCAAGTGAAGATATAGTTGTCGTTCTTTGAGTGCAAAGTGGGACAATTTTTGTTTGACGTTAACCATATAAAATATTTTACATACCTGCTACAGTAATATTAATAGCTTCTTCCAGTTCATTCCCATCGAACTTGTCTCCACGACATATGTACTCGCCGCTTTGGTACAGAGAAATTCGTGGTATTTTCAGTTTAGCAACAAGCGATAATGGATTCTCCGTGTGCTCCACTGCAATGTTTATGTTGAGAAAATTCAAACAAATGTGTAAAATTAAACGAAATGTAAACTGTGACGTCATAAGTGTTGGTTACAAGATATCGATGTTCTACTATTATCTTATATAGCATGGACCGTACTTAAAATACGATTATATTGGTAAAATATTCGATGGTATTAGATGTTAAATTTCTGGTTATTAATTAACATATCAAGTGTTTTCATTTTACAATATTTATGATTAATAAAATTCTACTATGTTGTGCATTAAATTAATTCAAAAAATTTTGACGTTAAGCATCAATACTATTCATTGTCTTTGCATTATCGAAGCTAATAATACATCACATCACATCAACAGCCTATGATAGTTCACTGCTGGACATAGGCCTCTCCTCTGAAAGGAGGTTTTGGCCTACTATACCAAGCTGGCCAGACGGGTTGGTATTGAATTTGTTTTAAGTTTTCCTTCTTTTTGCAGTGCTGTTGTCTTGTGACGTTACGTATTCTTAATCGGATTAATAATACAATTGATAAAATCGCTTCATCACCTATGTTGGATTACTGATTTTTTATCGCTTGGTCCATCGAGAGCACTAGTAGTAAGTTAACACATTGATAAAATTAGTACAATTACTAACCCGACTCGGTCAAATTTTCTTCAACACTGCCGATCCAGCTGACATTAGAAAAATCATATTTTGAAGCAACACATGTTATAGTGACGTCCTGATTCTGTGGGAACCAAGTGTTTTCTCTGTTCTTGATACCGAATCCACCCTCCATTTCGTAAACTATTAGTCTTCGTGTGACATTATCAGTATCGATTTTGTTGGAAGCTTTACATGTAATATAGCCAGAAGTATGAACTGCTGGAAAAACTAGTGTCGCTGAAGCCTTGTATACATTATATACTTTTACTGCAGCACTGGGCTGTAAATTTAAATTTAACAAAAAAACAATATGGTATTTTATGAACAGTTAAAGTCTACATCTCAAAACTTGAATCACTATTGCGATGTGTCTTCCCTCTCACTCTTCTCTAGTCTTGAAACACAAATGCAGCTTGAGTAGGCTGACGTATTGTTAGTCAGTGTTAAAAAAAGGGGTAACTATATGATGTAGGACAATTTTTACTCAATCTAACTGTTTCATAGTTATTTTTAGCTGGTAATAATGCCTTTGCCTGCTAATGTCTACCTCTTAATGATCTGAGGACTGAGGTACTACCTCCACTTAACACGTTTGGTTAGCCAGCACAGCACGTGTGGTGCTGTTTAGATACAGGTGAGGTTCTGCAGATCTGGCCGACGATCACTTCATTTTTCAAAACCAAACTAACACAGAGTTATGTTGTTCACGGTAAAATAATTTCATAGACTTACCAGAATCTGTTCTTTCTCGCCATTAGAAAATACCCATTCTATGTTCGGTAAAGGATACCCTGTTACATCACACCTAAAGGTAACTTCCTGGTTCTCTACATATTTTCTATCAGCATTTGATCCGAAAGAAATCACTGGAGCAGCTACAATACAGCAGGAAAGAACAAGTTAATATAAAAATAGGTTACAAAACTATTGTAATTACGATGTAGATAATAAATATTTAGTTACAATATACTAAATGCTTTTATAACAAGCGAGAAGTTATATTTTAAAATAATCAATTACCAGTATCTGAACCATCGTGATAGGGAAACTGTATGCTAATAATAATTGGAATGATAGGTGAGTAAGTGACTAGTTAGTGAGTGACATTGAGTACAGACGAATCTGTGGAGTTTGGAAAGAGACGATCAAGCATTTTTATTTCAGAAACCAGAAAGTATTTTGCACGTTCATAGATCTAGAAAAGGCTTATGCTAAGGTGAACAGGAATGCATTATGGAATGTATCATCCATGTCATCATCATCATCAGCCAATCGCAGTCCACTGCTGGACATAGACCTCTCATATATTCACATCATTCATGTATGTCTGGTCTAATTCGGACTCTGAAGTTTTTATAAAAGGATTCTAGGGCATGTATTACTAATAGGGCCGACATAGACCGGTTCCAAAACCTCGAATGAAGTGGGAGAATATTGTGTAGCTTCTCCTTGCATTGCAATGATAATATGAGTGAGTTAAAAGTCAAAGGAATAGATAACAAACAAAAAAATATTACCTGTAAACCTTAAGTCGACAGTGACATTCTCCGTTAAGTACCCATTAGTAGCCACTAAAGTATAATTAGCGCTGTCTGTAACTTGCGTATTGTTTATCAGTAAGATGGGGTCACCCGTCTTAGGGTGTGTAAAAACGTCGTATTTCAAATCGTTTTTAGGTAAATGTCTGCCATTGATTAAGCTGCGAACGTAAGTATAAACATTAACCCGGTATTAACCCGGTAATAAACGATCCTATAGTCGAAAACCCAAGGCCTATCCAGCCCCTATACTGTACTCGCACAGTTTTATTTAACTTTGTTTACGGACTTAAAAAAAAAAAAGACACCTCTGTGGTTTGTTTCGGCGTTTCTTCCCAGAGTGAGTCTTAGGAAATGCCGGCTCCTTCTAGCTATAAAGTCCGACTTGTAAAAATATCTGAAAAGATTTACTTACAGAAATAAATATCATTTCATTTCAAGTGGAAGGCTTCAGGTTTGGTGATAATCAATTCCATATTCAAGCCTGTCATAATGGAATAAACCATTGATAGCAAAAAATAGCTTCAGCTTCATGGTTCAAGGTATTTTTTTTATATTTAGCGTGATTCTCTTAATAAATAAGAATTAATATAAAAGTAGTTCTGCTATTTTGTTAGCCCCGTCACTTTAACTACTAAATCAATGGTAATTAATAACATTGATGAGGGGTATTGAACTGTGCATGCCTGGCTGCAGCTAGAGAATTTTGGGTAGACGTATTAAGGAATTAGACTTGCCCTCAAAAGGAATACAACACACAGGAATAAAACATACATATGAAACATAAAATAATTGATTGTTTAAATACTTTAACCACAATCTTAGACAAAAATACTTCTTTAAAACAAGGTTAAGGAAAAGCGAATACTTACAAATAAGAAGTAGCTGGAGGGTAGGCGTCAATCATCTCAATATTTAGCTTATACTTTGGCTGTGACGTTTCAACTGGTCCCGTTTTATCAGTAAACAAAGTAAGTGTAGGTTTTTCTAAAAAAGAGGAAATGTGATTAGTATTAAAGAATGGTTGGTGGGAAGTTGAAAGTCATGCAACGCTTCTATACTCTTAAAAACCTATTGAGGATCAAAATAGTAGACCCGAAAACTCACTATCACTCCTGGACAGAAAACAAAACCTACCAGTAAAGAATGATGGCTCCGCAGATCTGCCCGATGTTATATCTAATGAGATTTGTGTGCTTGTGCTTTGCGTCAAGTCAAAAATGAACAAGCCCTCGACGAGGATGGTATTATTCCCGAGTTACTTAAATTACTATCCAAGTAAGTACATCAAATTCTAGCAAAACTACGAGTATAGGGCCTAGTTAGGTGCATCGTCCAAGGGGGGAAATCACGTGGACGGGGCAGCTGAGGCCGCCCGTTAGAGTGGATTTTTGGTGAAAACACCACATAGGAGCTAGGAGGGCTTTTACGTCCCCTAGGAGCCGGATTTCCGAAGTGATTTGCCATCCCGTCACAAAAAATAGGGTTCGTTCAGCGTGCCAACGCTGTCGCGCAACTTTGGTCGACTCGTATCGACTTTATAGAACATATAGAACTAAATGGCGGGCAGCGACTGACGACTGAAGACTTGACGCGTTACATCGCAATCTTGAAACATCTACAACAATGGCATTTTGTCAACACAAGTGTCAACATGCATTAGAAAATCGAAAAGTTTTGTCTAAGCTGTAAAGTTAGATAGGGTGACACAATATATCCTAAACTTTTACCACGACCCTTGACAACATCTTCAAAGACCTTAATTGGGATGAAAAAAGTATAAACGTAGAGGAAAAAAGGCTTACTAATCTGAGATTCGCTGATAACCTGGTTTCAATCGGGAAAAGTAGGTTTGAAAATGAATCTTGACAAGACGAATATCATAACCAACATGCCGGAAGCAGCAAAGTACCAATAGCCCAAAAGTAATTTGCGACTACGTCTGTCTTGGCCATAAAGTAATACTAGGGATTTCCAACCACACCTCGTAAGTGGATGGACGTATTTCCTAAGCCTTGGCAGTATTCGGTGCAAATTTGCATATAATGCGAGGAAAGCTGCCACTAAAACTGAAGGCTAAAGTGCTTGAGGAGTGAATGATTCCTAATTTATACTCTGATATTTCACTCATGGTACCGAGACCATGTCCCTCACATAGCAATCAGACGAAAAGCTATGAAAAGAGATGTTGTGAATTACATTGTGCAACCGAAAAGGAAATGAGTGGATTAGGCAGAGCACCAGTGATGAGGTAAAAATCATCGCACGGCAGAGTGGACTTGGTGTTGGCCATATCACAAGAATGCCCAAAGATAGATAGGGAATTAGGGTCCTGGAAAGAAGACCATGGTCCAACACCAGACCAAAGGGTCGTCTGCCAAAACGATGGGATAACGACATCCGGAGATAGGCAGGACATGACTGGATGACTAAAAACGCAGACAGAAAGGCTTGGAAGATATGGGAGAGGTCTGTATTCAAGAGTGTACCAGAAAAGAGAAGAAAGAAGAAGAAGATTAAAAAATGGTTAAGCGATCATGGTAGTTATCCAGAGCTATCATTCCAGGATTTCATTTATTATACGGTTGATCCCCTAGTTAGTCTTTTGTATTTCAAAGTAAAAAAAACTCAATCGCGCATGTACAGGAATACAGTAAACTAATGAATTTCGAATCCAAATGTAGGCGAGATAAATTAAATGATAATATTGATAAATATTGTGGTATTTCTATGTAAAATCATAAAACTAGGGTCGCACCATAAGAAAACTTTTACACCTTGAGATTACGAAACAATTACTGTTAAAGACACAAGTGATATTATTTGGAGTTGCATTACAGATTAGAGGTATTGCAGTAGAGAAATTTAAACCCATTTTAGTTAGATACCATCGTGACACCAATACCTCTTTGGCGTGCCTTTTCATACTTTTAAACTATAGCGTTTTTTGACTTCTTTTTTTAATCTGAATTAAATAATTATATTTAAGGAAGCCTACGATCAATACATTGCTATAATGACTACTCTTCATAGTTTTTATGAATGGGCTTGACTTAGACACATACATACCTTTGAATTTTTTCAAAAACTCAGCTTTTTTCTTGTCACAATTATTAGTCGATACACATATGTATCTGCCACCATGTTCCCTAGTAGCACCTACAATTGTAATATTCTTGTACAACATATCACCAACCCTCTCATATTCGTTCGATTTGATTATTATTGAGTCCTAAAACAATTGATAAACCATTAAATTGTATGTTTTTATAGGTAATAAGCAATACACATGTGGAATAGTGATAGTAAAAGTAGCTCGCTCAGAATAAATGTAAAAACTTGCAAGAGTATAAGAGACAATGTTGAAATAATAATTTAAAACATTGAAACCAAAACCCCTATTAATCCCGTAAGAGCCGACTAACTGAGCAAACTACGCAGGATAACAGCACTGCAAAGAGAAAGAAAACTTGAAACCAACCCTATACCAACCCGTCTTGCTAAGGTGGTATAGTAGGCAAAAACCTCCTTTCTAATGAGAGGCCTATTAAAGGTGGTACTATTACAGTGGACTATTAAAGGTTGTTGATGTGATGATGTGTGATGTGTCAAACCAAAATATCTCAAAATCATATTTGTATTTCTCGTTATCTTTATAAAAGATAAGAGTTTGGCAAGATCTATGTTATTATGATTTACATTTGTATATCGTAACACCTTGCTGGTTGCTAAGTTAGCCAACTATTTAAGCTTTGGAGCGTCATTTTCCACCACACTAGTGACACTGCTTTAATTCTTGTACTGCAATAAGTAATCAAAATTTTAAGGAGGGACAAAAGAAGAAATTTCTTTTAAAGCTTCTGGCATATCTTGACAAATTGCAGAAAGTTCGGTCCGAGGCTATATAATAATACTGTATAAATTTCTCAGATGCTATTGTTCCAAAAAACGGGAATTGAGCAATCTTGTAGCTTGAAAGCTGAGCGAAGCATTGATTGAAACTTGTTGTCAAGATGTTTGTTGCAAACGCCATGATGAACTGTGCCCAAATATCGAATACAAATTTTGTAAAATAAACATGGTAAATGACCAGTGTATAATAAACTAGGCGATGCCGTTTCCATATTTGAAATTTACTATCTGGGATTTCATATGTAATCCTTTCTAGCCTCGAAAACTAAATAAATTATTTGAAAATACAATGTATTTTATGAACACAGATTTTAAAAGATTTGACCTCTTACAATGCTACTGAAATGATACTCCATTAGAAGAAGGTCTCTTAAATATACAGTATTATCATAATTCACAGTTCTCATAGAAAATCATAAGATTTCACATAGTTCATTGAACGTGATCCGTAGATAATGAAAGCTCTATAGCTTTCATTATCTACGGATCACGTTCAATTACAGGTTTAGATATTATGCAGAGCGCAAAGGGACGCCATCAAAATTTATTAAATATATAAAAATTAGTTGAAGTAATCTTCGAGCCCGTAATCTTTGAGATATAAATGGTAATATCAGTGAAACAGGTTCCCGCGGAACTTGTGTTAGCACAATGATGATGGGGATGGCGTAGATATAATAACGCACCATTGGGGATACGGTTTTAACACAATATCAGAACTAGAAAAAAAATCCTAGTCTAGAAATACAGTTCTTTGGTACATATATATATATACTTACATTTGAAACGTTTGGTGGATACTCCCAATTCAAACTGACTAGTAAACCACTTTCGTAGTTAACAGTGCAATTCATTGAAAATGTTTCTCCTTCTAAGAAGAATTTGAAGCCGCCTGATATTTTAGGCACTGGTGGTGGCATAACCCCTGAAAAAGATTTGAAACTAAATTTCGGAATATAAATTTAGGTTATTTTGTTTTACCTAATGCATGCGAAGTGTTGCCATTTAAAATAAACTAAAAAAACAAGAGGCCTATGTTAAGAGGAAACGGGTGTATTTGATAAATAAGTACATACTAACTGAGCAATGCTTAGCAGAGAAGAAATACTCGTATATAGTGCAGCTCAAATTACTCTTAAGATTTTTAATAGCCTGCCTTAGTGTTTTTAATAAGTTTGCGTAGGTTTAATATTTTAAGTACAAAATTGTGGATGCATATAAAATTATGAAATGTATTCTAAACAAGATTATATCAAATATATTTCTACTAGATTTCAAAACAATGAAATAATAAATATATAAGCGAAAAAAATTCAAATATAAAACTACGTTCGCAACGTTACCTATACCTATGGCATTCATATAAAATTAAAACGGTTGAAAAGTTTGGTTCGAATCAGCACTTTTATAGTTTTAGTTTGGATTTATATAAAACAAAATACACGGGTTTCCTCGAAACTGATACAATAAAAATATAACGTAGCAGTATAACGTAGAAATCACTATCTTTTAAAGTACTTAATAAATTTTTTTGTTTGGACACTTCCATCTGCTAAACACATTAAAATAAATTATAAGAACGTTACGGAAAGCCGTAAAGGAAACGTTGCGCATCGATGAAAGTTTCTCGTAAAAAATATTTAAATATTGCGAGCGCTGTAATTGAAATTGCCATATTATTGTATATATTATATTTTTATATTTATTATTATTTTTATTTATTAAATATATTACTGTATATAATTGTAATGCTCATTAAACGAATTCATATTTACCTATGTCCATGGACGTATAAAAAAAGTCGGATGGCACTCCCGCTAAGACAAAACTGAGGCACCGTCTATGTGTGAATGCTTTGGGGTTGCCACGTTACCCAAATTTACGCCCTAAAAACACAGTCAATAAATAAAAATATTTTATTCATTTGAAATTTTACTGCTTCCACTGTTTAATATCCCGTGCTGAGTAATTTTTTAAATAATAATCTTTTACTTTCGAGATAAGTTTAACCGAATCGTTAAATATTTTGCCACTATGTATTTAATAAGGCTTATTTTGTGTTCTATTCCGGCGAAAGTATGTTCGGAATCTAAGTTTTTTTAAAACGCTTACATTGCCAACAAACTTTTCTATAATTTTTTGAGAATATATTTGTGTTATCTTTCATTTTCACCATTACAATTTCAATTTTTTAAATCTAATAATTTCTCCATACTCCATTTTTCTTTGAAAATCTAGTAAAAAGAATATGAAATACTAAAATTTCTAGTAGTAACTATTAAATATATAACCTTAATAATGAATTATTTTCTACTATCAAATGCAGATTGGTTTTATGTATAAAACTAGAAATAAGAGATTGAATTATTCATTTACTTATGAAACATGATTCCTGGAATATTTTTCTTTCGGTCACTACGGTTTTTACAGCATTTTACCACGCGAAACATGTTGTATATATGTATAATTTTTCGCCGCGTAATGCGTCTCATTGTCTCGATATTTGCGCGCGTAAAGACTATCTAATGTGTGTATGAGTGCAAGCCGGCCTGGACGGACAGCGAGCTGGCCGACTATGAGTTACACAGTTTTTTTGTTAGCGAGACTATGTCCGACTTTTTTATACGTCCATGCCTATGAGTAATTAAATGAGAATTGTATTGAAGATAGAAATGTCTTTCAAACTATTTAGAACCATTACTAGAAAAATAAAAAATTAACAATAAGAATGTTACTATTTATTCAGATCTCTTAATTAATTGATAATTAAACTAAGAGTTTGACTTTTTTCAGTATCAGAGAGTGCTATTAATTCATTACTCATATTTTAATGCTACTTAAACAGAACAACTATATAAAGTTATGTTATTCACTCCACATATTTTATTTAGTTAAATTTTTACGTCATCATTCGTAACGTATGAGTCTGAACCGGGATACCTATATACTAGCAGGCATTATGTTAAACAATAAATAAATGGTAACTATTTAAAATTAAAAAAATACTTAAGAAAATGGTAGATTAAAAATGAACCCACCGTAACACATTGAAAAATACCTCACAATCATATCATATCAATCAGTTAATATATTAAAACAAAACAGTGTTAGTAGGTATATTAAGAATATTCATGCACGTCACGCAGAGCAACACACCAAAGAAATAGAAAATGAAAAAGAAGTGTGAAGCGACAAGCTTAGAACCAAAAACATTGAATATAATAGGTCTACTGAAACATTGAGTGTTAGAAGTCATCCAGTGAATGAAACCATCACACCACACTACCTTGTTAGGTTACATCAATTGCAGTACTACTTACTACGAATACGTTTCAGTTCACTTTGGTCTCCATGTTTTCCAAGACATGTGTAAGCAGACCTAGTACACTTTTTCATTACAAACCCAATCTTTGGAGAATATGGTACTGAATCTTGTTTCTTGTTACTCTGCGGTTATCATAATTGTTGCCAAATAAATGTTTGGTTAGTATAGATATCGCTTAAAGTAATCGTCATGTTTTTCAATTATAGCACACATACCTATCTACAGTCGTTTGGCATGCAGTTCATTATAAAATTGAAGAACATGACAATCCACATTCACGAAATCAAACAGTTACTTTTATTATGCAGTTGCATTCTAACCCTTAAACGTAATGGGCGAATGAACGGACTAATGTCACACCTGTATTCTCGTGAATGTGGTGAATTTAATTAAATATATTCAAATATACTAGTATCTATTCACCTACGTTTTCTGATTAAACATGATTTTTCTACGACATTGTCTCGTCTCTTAAAGACACATGTGAAAAAGGTGTACGTCGAGAGATGATCATTATTGATGACGAACCCGAGTTTGGGACTATAATAGTGATCTGGAATTTCCTGAATATTAAGAAGGTTATTATGAAACCATTCAAATTAGCTTGATTGGAAACTTTCATGCTTTAGTATCAGCATTGTCTTCAGCAATAAGCGTTAGTAATTCAGAAGCATTTAATGAGACAATGTTGATATCCTCGTTATCTACTTAATTATAGTCACACTTAGACTATAAGTGTAAAATCACGATAGAGAATAAACGAACGTTGCCTCATTAGGCACAACAGACAAATTACGTTTATTTAGGTTTTGTAAATATTACTTATGCGGCTGCACAAAGCTATTGTATTTATATTATAGGAATAATAATCTATTATTATTTATTTTCATTTTTTTTATTTTTTAAATATTTACCTACGTGATATAGTTATATATTTGTTAATATTCTATTACTCTTATTTTGATATTCAGTTTGTAATTATACATACCCGCACTTCTTGGAGGGTAACTTGAACATCTGGTGTTGTTGGTCTACATTCAATAACAACCTGATAGCAATTTCTTGGCGTAACAATTTCTCTCATGGGTGCAAACAAGCTATCGGTCCCTAAAATATTCATATGAAGAACATGAGATACAGACTTAGTGTCCAACATTTACGATTAATATTTTTGCAAAATTATCTCACCATTAACGTAAATATAAAAGAATGAGATTTGCTCTGTGTTCTCAGGTACTTCTGTGAGGTTATTCAGTACATTTTTGATGTTAATTCGTTTATCGTAACAAGCATAGAAGCCAACTGTATATTGATCAACGTTATATAACTCTAGAACTGTCCTGAACTTAAAGTCTCCCTCTGATATTAATTGGTTTCTTACTTTCATATTAATTGTGGTTATTTCTTCTGGTATGTCTTGTTGTTTTAATTCTACGGCGAATTTTGCTTTACAAGTAAGATTAAAGTTTTGCCCTTTTTGTAATATGATTTCGCTTTTACACTGCTCAATAATCGGACCCTGCGTTCGTTGATAATCTGAAAGCGAATCATACAACTACGGTTAAGTCTATGAATTTGTAACTTATTTATATCTTCTTTACGATAAAATATTCATTTTTAAATCTACCTATTTCACAACAGGTGTATGTCTATTTTATAAAGATAAAATTTACTACAGGAACGTTGTGAAGTTCTAAATTGCATGAAGGTCCTATTAATCTTGATGGCCCAAGCATATATGTCTAATTTAACAAGGGGGAGCATAGTATTTCAAAGAGCTCATCAAGGGGTAATATATCATTGACAAGCAAGAGAGTGAACATGACAATAAGGGGGTGGCAACTTGAGTGGCTTATCATCATACTAATGTCGTTTGTAACATGAACCTTCAAGGCGCGCGGTAATACTGCACACCTATCGAAAACACTATTAATTAGCGATGTTCGCGACCAGGGCGTGACGCAGGTGCGGTCAACATTCGGAAAATTAATCCTACCAGTAGCAGCAAACAAACCGACAAGTCATGTAACTTGCTGATAATAATTGATCGTATTAAACCTTGACAACGACCACCAATTAAGTGATTAGGACCCCGCAGCTCTACTTATCAACAAATTAATAGCCATCTCATCAGGCTAAGTGCAATTGAGCTATTTTTTTATATAATAGACACATATTGCTTGTCAGTAAAGTTGACAATGTACCTATAAGAATTCTGATAGGTACATGGGCAATTGGTATTGGTACATCGCTCACACTGGTGTGGGCGAGGCTAAAAGTAAGCAGAATAATGGTGCTTTTAAACTAACATATATGCCTATGAATTGTTGGTCCAGTCCCTAGGGACTAGATCGCCAAAGTTGTTGCATAAGTAAGTTAAATATAAATATTATTCTACTTCGTTTACAATTTAAAACGTTGTTGTTTTTATCACAGCGGCACGCCCAACAAAGCAACAAAGTGTTTTGCTGTATTATATATTCTCCTACCTGAATAACTAAAATAGACTTAATAGTCATATAGCTTAAGGTTTCACATTAAATGCGACTTGATAAGGTATCGTAAACAATGCGTATAATGTAAAAACTTCATAAATATGTAAAAAGAATTATAAGTTTCGGGAAATAAAATAATCTACTCTAAGAATTATGTATAAGGTCAATTCAATTTTGAAATTTTAATTTCGAACTTTTATTAGTAAATGTAGGGAAAAGTTCGACATGACAACTACTCACTCAACTTAAGCCGGGTTAAACTGCGAGACGGAGAATTCTAATCTATTGTTACAATACGGTTTTTAAAACATTTGTCACACACCTGGTTAAGTTAAAAAATGCCTTAATACTGCTTATTTTATACAAATATTTTTTAAGTACGTAGGTATTTACCAAAGTTTTGCATATTGCTCGAATTAAAAATACTAAATAAAATAATAATAAATAATATTAATAGTTAATAAATTTTTGAATCAGTAGAAAAGTTAAACACCGTAATCGTTACGTAAGAAAGGAACGTATTAGTAAGAATAATAATCTTCTTTAATGGGCCATAAACCTTTCACGACTTTTTTTATTGGATTCCAGACGCTGTCGTAGAAAGACTATGGCAAAATAACACTATTTATAAAACAATTTCCAATTTTCAAGAAACTACTTCTGCTTATTTTACTATCATATAAAATTCTGCATAGCAATAGTCACTTGTTTTATAAGAACTTATTTCATGCAAGATTGGTGATGTTTACAATCTTTGTTAAAAAACTTATGTTAAGTTTTGTCTAATAATGTCGAGAAGGTAATCCTCTTAGGGGGTTATCTGTGTTGCGGAGCGAGAGTGCGTGGAACTCTGCCGTCTCCTTCTGCGAGCCAGTTATGCTCGCGAAGGAGACGGCGGAGCGGGATCGGGAGTGGTTTAGAACTCTCCCGGCCCGCCAGGCCCGGGAACGGGCCAGGTGCCGCAGGCGACTCAGCCGCCGGAGGTCGCAGAACGACCTCGGTCTTCCATAAGCGCAGGTTCGAGTCCGACATGCCACCGATAGATGGTATCCGAGGGGATTTCCGCACGGAAAAAAAAAAGGGGGTAATCTGTGTGTAGTGAGACACACAAACATATGAAACTTTAAAATAAATTTTGAAGTTGCTTCTGTTTTTGTAAGACTAGTTTAGTCTCCGTGCGGTTCATAGATAAGTGCTTACTTATCTATTAAAGAAATAATACTTTAAGAAAAAGAAAGAGCTCTCTGTAAAATGCACAGCAAGAATGCTTAAGATGACCGCAAATTGCTGTTAATTGCTCTGTTAGGACTTTAACATCAAAACTTCCAAAAGTTAAAGATTCTCGCAATATAAAATATTAATGTATGTTGTTAGTTTCGTCTATTGTTTATATTTGTTTTGCTTACCTAGAACATTTATCCAATTGTAATGAAACTTTGGCAAATTATGGTATGGTAAAAAGGTTTCAGAAAGGAAAGTAATCATGATTTGCATGGTTTAACTAACACTATAATGTGTAAGTAGTGCCAAAGGGTCACTACTATGTTTGGCTATAAGAACCATTTTTAATCAACAAGACGCGGCATTGTTGCGACAAATTTATAGCCTTTGTGATCAAAAAAGCCAAACAGCCGGATCAGTTGTTTTGCTAATTACTTATAAAGACAACGACCATTAGATTCGGACAAGCGTGTACATTACCCTAAACAGTGTACGTATGTGTATATGTATGTGTGATACAACAATGGAAATTACCGTCAACTAATAACAACCTAAACGAAACTTGGGAGCAAATTGTTATTGGCAACTTTTTCGACATCCTCAATAATAAAATACCCAAAAAAGTAATGTGTTACACACACATTGACAAGCACACAAACTTACCTATTCAAACACGCATACTCAATTTAAAGTATACATTAACTGAAGATATGCTATGCTAGACTAGATATGCTATGTAATAAAAAAATAGGACCGAACTGAGACTTTAGTATCGGCACTACGTATAACGATTTTTCCCTGAAAATGTAGATAAAACTATAAGACAAACAGTCCCATAAATTCTTAATTTCTATAAATTCATCGTATAGACATCTCAACGATATCTCAACCTCTTTAAAATTATCCAGACGGATGTCTGCGTTAAGATATAGAGTATGCATCCTGCTTGTAAAACAAGATACTTCCTCCCGTTGTGTAATGAGCAAAGTGAGTAAGAGCTAAATGTTTTAAGAATAAAACAGATTGAAAACGATAAATACAAGTACATTAGTTTTTTATAATTTCTGATAGTTAGTTGATTCATAAATAAAAAGTCAATTTTGAGAGTTTTAAATCATGCGTTGCTTCTGTTTGTAAAAATTTCACTATCCTACTAAATACAAACGAAATAACAACATCTACTTTTATAAACACGTGGTACCGTTAATTTAAAATTAGATTGGATTCAAAATATAATGAATACTATATTAATTACGATAGTGATCTCGATTTTAATGACAGTCATGAGGACCGGAACTTAAGAACATTTATAACAAGAGTGAAGTACTTTGAATGTAGGCCGTGTGTGCTTTTGTTTACGAATAACTTACATTGATGTTATCGAGTCACGCGAGCCGATTAGGTAGAACAAATCACTTCGGATCCGATCAATATGAGGTTGGAAAGACATACTTGTGCTGATTATGTTGCATTAGAGGTTATCCTATATTTTGAGTACCCTTATAAGTTAATTTTAAATCAGTTCATATCATTTTATAAGATTATCGTCAAAATATAGGAGTTTATATTTTGCAAAACTCTTCAAAACTGATAATAAAAATAAAAGTCCGAGTAAAACTATTAGTCATGGTTCATGGTATTTGCTTCGCAACTTTCATTATTGCATTAAAAATCAGTCTGTGTCGTCATTTCTGTTTAAAGTCTGTCACCTTTTCGTTTCTTGTGCCGCTATACAAAGTAGGTACAATTAAATAGTGTATGGTATTTGCTCCGAAACTTTCAATATTGCATTAGAATCAGTCTGTGTAGTCATTTCTGTTTAAAGTCTGTCACCTTTTTGTTTCTTGTGCCGCTATACAAAGTAGGTACAAGGAAATAGTGTAAGATAAACTGATGACTCCTAAGGAAGTATGGGGGTTTATATGTATATTTCGATTGTTTTACCATCCTAAGTTAAGATTATGTAGGTTTATATGAATGAGAGTATCTAAACTGAATGGTGTGTTCAGAGGAGCTTCAGAATCAAGAGGAGGTCAATCCACAATTGGCAGTTACTGCTGAATTTAGTTTACGCCTCGATAATTATACTTATTTTCACCAGTTTTTTTTTTGCATATAGGAGGATCATCAAGAAGCACAAGACTAAAACTTCATGTAAAATAAAATACTGAGCTTATTATAAGGAGAAGTTAAACCTATTGTAGTAAGTAAGTCGGCGATAGGTAAGATTTCCATACAAGGCCAACGTCGTTAATACATATTAAAATAATCCAAGTCGAGTTAAAATTTTATCCAGTTCCTTGTCGATAACCATCAGCACTTATTAAATTATGTTATATTCGTCATTATAATACAATAATTCATCCCATCTACAACCGTGACCACTGTCACAGCAAGACCATCAGTGTACACGGAGTACACTAAATACTTATACCTTGCGTAAGTTCCGTGGTGACGTTGCTAGAATATTAAGGTATACCTACGTCAGATTATTCTACAAAAATGACGCGCACAACGAAAACGAGAAAACCGTGACGAAATTTAAACAGAAATGACGACACACACATTTTTAACATAATGAAAGTTGCAGAACAACTACGGACTTGACCATGAACTATGACTAAAGGCTTCGCTTTTGATTAAATGCTGACAGTACACACAACACCAAAAA